ATTTTAGTTAAAAATAATTTAATTTAGCAAAATAACAAATTTAAGAAAGAACAATATATGATACACAAGTTTTAATTAAGGAATTACAGCATGTATTATATTTTCTAATCTTTCTCCATCCTTGGTATGTATCAATAGTTGTTTGCAACTCTCATTCTTAGGGAAGAAGAGTGTGCTGAAATTTTAGACATGCATTACAAAGGCTAATGTTGTCCAAAGAATATTGTTGTGTTGTACTTAGTTTTTCTAATTAAAAGTCCAGATGTCTTTGCATCATTGTGTACCATTTCAATCCACTACTCAATGTTGTTAATGAAGAAAAGTGCCCAGAAAATGTACCATCAACAGGCGAAGTTCATGTATGTAGTATGTAATAGATTTCTATGTGAGCCCTTTTGACACCATCTCTTTTCATCAGTGCATTGGCATGTATCAAATAGGAACACATCCACACACATCTACATTTACTTAACTTTTCCATTAAAAATGGAATTAATCTCCCAAATTTTCTAATTCTAAGGGAATAGCTTTTATTTAAAATTACATGGTTAGTATGTTTTGGTCTCATGATAAATATTATCATTTTAAATTCCAATGATGTGATGAAGGATCGGTGCTTTCAAACACAGAGGCAAAAATTATATAATATTTAAAATATACATTTTCTAGTTCATTGATGGAGATTAGCTTACCAGGTGACAATAGATTCCATTGGCAATTACTGTAGACAGATTACATATTAATGTATACCTTTTTGAATATTTAAATATAAGTGGTAATTCTTATTCTGAATAAAGGTTTAAGTGGTACGGTGATTAATAGTAAATTATTTTCTTTTTTAAACAAACACTACATATATTCATGCCTCCTTCCATGCATTACTGACTTGCTAAAGAAAATTATTTAATTCAAAAGAAGTACGCTCTTGCTTTCTAAATGCAAACTTGACTCATGGAGGTCTGGAGGTAAAATTCAGAATTTTTTTTTTAATATCATGTCACCATTTTAAAAGATTCATGCCTAAAATTTATCTACCACTTAATGAAAAAGAATAAAAGAATGATGTTTCTTTTATTCTGTATTCTCACACAATCTTCAAGACCCAGTAAGCTGTTTTTCAACTTTTTAAAAGTTACTTTTTTTCTTTTAGTAAACATGGTGATTAAAATATCTAAGAAAATTTATGATACAGTGTCAGACATAAAGTAGATAACACTCTTTTGGTTTAAGTACTGGCACATCATATTTAGTATTATTTACCGTTTGTTGCCGGGTCAAATATACACACAGACATAATCTGAACACTGTATAGTTCTGGTTTGTTGTTGTTGATTGCCATCAAGTCGAGCATGACTCATAGAGACCCTATGAACAAAAGGCCCGAACTCTTTCTATAACTATTGTCATTTATCAAAGTTCATAGAGTTTCATGTTGTACAGGAAGTGGATGCCACTCCTGCATCCAAATTTCTAAATTAATAATTATAAATAGTCTATATCCAATTTCATTATTATCTAGGAGAATTAAAACAGTAAAATCTACCCTTATCACACCTTATTTTTTACATATTTTTTACATTATCAGATATGTACAGATAAGCATTTAGTTACTTTCATAGAAAATTTTGTGTATGTGCATTGCACATTTTTGAATAAAAACTGAATTTATACTGATCAATTTGCATTCTTTTAACTGAACCTGGGCAGTTAAAATCTGTTACCCTCACTGGAGAAAAACCTACTGCAAGGAGAGTGAAACAATTTCTCAACTTAGATTTTAAGAATCACCTGCTTAGTAATAGTAAAGGTAAGATATTTAAGAGTTTCTTTGAAGACAGAACAGAAGTTGGCTTTTCTAATGCCGAAAATCACAGTGATTTAAAGTTGTAAAAATTAACAGATAAAATATAATGGTTTGTATTCCTACTGAACTTGATTATTCTCAATTGCCAATAAACTGAAATTGAAGGATATAGTTAGTAAATATTTCTTTCTAAACTCTCAACTCTTGAGTTTGTATATGTGTGTGTTTGGGCAAGGAAACTGCATGTAAACACAGAGTGTAGAATTTTATATATATTGCAATTCAAGCATAAGTACTGTGAATAAAAATGTAAAATTTCTAAATATTTGGCTTACTCAACATTTTCCAATGTTAAAATTATATTAGACTTCAACACAGTAATACACACACACACACACACACACACACACACACACACACATTTTTAGTTGGGGTATCTCTCTGTCTCCCTCCCGAACAAACTGATTGACACGCATGGTGACCGTATAGGACACGGTAGGCCTACTTCACAATTTCCAAGGCTGTAATCTTTCTAAATGTACATTGTCAAATTCTCCATTAAGTGGCTATTGGGTTTGTACCAACAAAAAACTTTTGATTAGACATTGAACACTAACTCACTGTGCCACCAGGGATCCCACACTAGCCAATTTTGGTTTTCACTTGGTTATAAACATATGTATATTATTTACTTTGAAATATCCATACAAAGTAAACATTAATTGTCTAAGTATGAGCAGTCTCTACTAGGAATGATTTGACTTTCTTCAAACACAAGTCTAAGTTTCAGAAATTTATAAACCAATTTCATTTTATTTTTAAGAGATAGACAATCTATTACAATGGGGGCAATATATGTTAATGACATACTAGACATGTAGTCATTTTCTATATTGCTTTTTATTGCTGTTTGATTAAGATGACATTATATTAGAGCGGAATGGAATGAAATAGAATTGAACATAAATCATGGAAGAAAAAAAGCAATAACAAAGAAATATATCTTGGGTTTAAATCTATCTAAAGCACTGAAAAATATTAACTCTAACAATGAAGTTAGCCATTTAAATTTATATATATGTATATATCTTGAAACTACTGTGATTTTTTTTTAAGAGTCAAAAATCCTTTAAAAATATCCCATCAAAGAAAAAGTTCCTACATGTACTTGCCAATCAAGTTATATTCTATTAATAGTTTACAGAACTGGCATATATTTTTATCTGTAAGCATAGTAACTAATTTCAATCTGTAAGAACTGACCTTACTATGTGATCTTGTTAACTCCGTACAAAGAGGACCTAGGTGTCACTAATGAATTAGACAAGTGGCTTAAAAAAAGTTTTATTAAAATAATTTACCATTAGATTCTACTTCTTCTATTTCCACCAACTAAAAGAACATATGCCTCTGTGAAAATGCAATTTGTGCTAAGAAACTTGGGTGCACTGATTTGGTTCAGGACGTGTAATGGACAATCCATCACATCCCTCTCCCTCAACCGCCCATTGCAGAGAGTAACATGAAAGGTATTAGCTTCTGGTAATAAAAAAAGTAGACCAACCAATTTGAAGTTGGATCAGCAGTCCCAAATCTACTCTGTCTAATGGTCAGTCTATGAAAAAAGATTACTGCATTCTAAAAATGCCTCCCCCCATGAAAATGGAAACCTTCCTACAAGACTATCTTTCTAAAAAGCTCACGGTTTTAAGAGAGGTTTAGTAACATTCATTAAAAATTAGTAACTCAGCCACAAGTTCTTAGAAATAACTCATTTGGGAAGAAACTTTAAAAAATCGCCCGTCACTGGAGAGGAAGAGTTTTGAGATTGTGACAGAGGGATCTAGTAATTTAATGCCTAAAGATTGGTACCTTGATGTCAAGGCGAATGAAATCAGTGACTCAACTTGCCTCATATGTGGAATCTTGCCTAAACCTTTATGAAGAAGAGAAAATGAGCTACCTGCAAGGAGTTACCTTGGATTACTTTCTGAGACTATTAATCAAGTTCGTAAAGGGGGGGGATGCAAATATATCAGACATATGACACTTAGCAAACAAATACAGAATCCAGGTCATACTGTTGCAGCAGACGAAAACGCATAAGTTTTTTTAACATCATTTAGAAATTTCAGAAGGATGCGGGTAGACAAGGGTTTTTAGGCGCTTCTAGGAAGTTTAGCGTTTCTCTGGATTACTACCTTTTCTTTGGCTGGCTGTGCCTTCACGGACAGGAGTTCAAGAAGATTCCTCTTCTGCGTGGCTCCTTGCTCTAGGAGCCTTTGGCACGCAGCAACACATTGCTACCTGAGATCCTTTTTTTCTTCCAGTAACTGTCTCCTAGATCATATCCAATAGGTGGAAAATTTTTAAAATTCCATTTGTAGAACTCATATTTTCTCTTTAGATTACTATTTAGTGTGAACTGCTATTTAGGAGTTGTCTTTCTCGAAAGACATTTATTTTTGTATACTTCATATACACAGAGTACTTTTAAATCTTTCACATTCTTAGATATTGGCTGTTCCTCAAAGAAGGGAAACTTTTACCGTTTGGAAAAAAGGAAAAGGGTACTATTTAAAGAACGCTGAAATCAGAATTTTTTTTAAAAAAAGTTTTTTGTTTCCTTTTTTTTTTTTTTCTCATGCGCTCTGCCAAGTTCCACTGCCAGTTCCAAACATTGTGCAATAATTTGGAAATGGAGTTAACGATGGGAAAAATCGAGCAGTTCGGAGTCGGGAATTTACAAAGGAGAAGCCAAGGAGTGGCACCCGCACGCATGCACGCTCTAGTGAACGCAGCACCCCTGTGCGCACTCCCCGCCCAGCTCCGCGGCGGAGGGACGATCTGTTTGACAATTATCACTCATCATTTTTTCTCACTCATCCAGTAAACTAGTTTGGGACCTTGGAGAGCCTAGATCTGCGGATTTACATATGTATATATATGTTTGCCCACAAATAAACGCACAGTCCCCAAAGAACAGGACCAAAGCAGTCTCCCTGAATGAGTTGACCGAGAGACAGACAAGGCAAGAGGAATCCCATCCTCCCTGCTGTCTCATTCTAGGGCCAGAGTCTTCCCTGGCATCTCCCCGCCCCCTTGCACCCTTGGGCTGCAGACAGCGTCCCCTACCTCCTTACCTGAGCTGTCGCTTTTCCTCTTGCCTCCACTTCTCTTCTCCGCCTCCGCGGGCGACAGCGCCTGGCGTCCGTAGTCCCCTGGCGCACACGTAGCCCCGGTCGGGGTGCTAGAGCCCAAGCTGGACGAGTTGGAGCATAGCACCGGCGGGCTGCTCCCCAGCTCTGGGGGGCCGCCCGAGTCTGGCTGAAGGCAGAGGCTGTGCCGAGCCGCACTCGGAGGGGAGGACATCTGCGGGAGGTGCCAGTTGGTCTGCAGAGCCTGGTGCTGCTGCTGCTGCTGGTGGTGATGGTGGTGGTGATGGTGGTGATGGTGGTGGCCCCTGTGGTGCTGGCTGGCAAACATGCCCTCCTCGTTGGGGTAGCCTGCGATTATGCAAGACGAGGACGAAGTGGAGAGCTCAGGATAGGACATATGGTCCGATCTTCCATGGAGGGCGAGAGAGGACTGGGAAAACGGGTGCAAGCCTTGCGCGGTGGCGTGAGGGCTGCGCAGGCAGCCAAAGAGCGGGTGTTCCATAGCATGCAAGTCTCAGTGCCCAAAGAGAAGACTTCACGGAGGTTCCAATCGCTACCAAGCTCTGTCAGTTTTCACTGGAGACAGTGTGACCTTTGGGCCCCCTTCCCACAGCAATATCCCTGCGTTTCTGCAGAGCTGGGATAATCCTGGGCTTGAGCCCTAGCGGCCAGTCTCCTTTACATATAAACACTCGGACCTGGAGGAGCTTCCCACTGAGCTACTCAGATGTCAAGAGTAAGAGAGATTGAAGCCAAAAGAAGGTGGTCCCTCAGAAAGACTTTCAGGGGGAAATGGCTCTGAGAGGTTATAAATAGAGTGTAATGTGAGCCGGGGGCTGGCTTAGGAGCCCGGCGTTGACCACATGCAATCTCTCTCCAAAACTCCCGCTTAGTCTACGCCGCGCGCTTGTAGTTTCACTTCCTAGCTGCGAGCTCCGGACCCGACAATGCGTCCACGCCCGTCCGGACCTCGCCTTTTGCTGAGGTTGCGCGCGGTGCTCCAGGAGCCTGCTGGGCGCCAAGCTGGTCCCTCTTCCCTCACACTCAAGCAGCCCCTCGATGCAGCCCTAACCCTGCACCCAGTGCCCAACTTGCTCACTTTAGGAAGCTTGCTACTTGGGGACTGTCACCTGCAGGAAAACCCAGAGGCACACTTAACCCAGATAAGCAGGATAGGGCGAGTTCGTTTGGAGCCTGGTTTGATACTTAAGTTTTTAAAACTTTGCATCTGTCTGCGCCCAGGGCGCAGAGGCCATCCAGCCTGTTGTCGCTGGTGTCTGAAGGTGGATTTTCTTGGGCTAGGTCGCTGAGTCCAAGGTTACGGGACCATGCACTGTGAAGCGGAAACGGCAGTAGTCGCTGCCCAAAGTAGAGAGATTTGGTGGGATGGGTGGAGCGGAGAGAGTCACGGATGTCCAAGTCCTGGGTTCCCCACCTGCGACGCCAGGTGAGGATAGTCCTCTACTCCCTTCGCCTTCTTCAAATGTCACACATACCCTTTCCTGGTTTTATTCAACACCCTAGTCATTTACTCACCCAAGAAACTTTCCCTACCTCTGAAATATTACGAGGCGATCGCCTCTAGTCCATCACATGACATGTGTAGCTTGCACGCACGTTTCCCCTCAGGAGTCCTCGTCCCTTCATTTCCCTCTAGCAATCCTCTCTTTTCCGTTCAGAAAATAACTTATTCAAAGGCATCACCCCAGGGAGCCTGAGACGCACTGCACTCCCCACCACACCCTAAGTTTACTAAACTTTAACTCTTTGAGTCTCTCTGGTTCAGTTTGCATCTCCCCAAAATTAGTTAGAAAACTTGCCACCAGTGACCACAGTCAAGCCAGAGTTGTGCTCAATCTTCTTTCCAAAAAGGGGCACGCTCTGCCTTTGATGCTGCCACTTGCTTGGGGGGCGACCCCCACTGCTGGGGGCAAAGTCGTTTACACACGACAAATGAGGCGCGCGTAATGAGCTGCAGGAGTGGGTCTTGCCTGGAACGTGTCGCATCAGGAGAATATCTGTGGTCACCTATCTCACTCGGGGCCGCATGTATGCCACCAGCAGCGTCGCCCTGTATTTTCATTGTCTCAGGTGTCTAGAGGACGGTGACCAAGTCTTTGAAGTTGCTAATGGAATTAATGGGGACAGCAAACTGGGCCAGCCATCTGGTTTGAATTAGGAGAAAGTATTGATTAACCTTTGAGCGGTGTTCCCAAGGCAGAACCTTTCGCCCAGTCCCTCCAGCCTCAGCCTGATTCTCTCCAACGTTGCCTTTTAAGTTCTATTAAGGTGTAGTGGCTTCGCAATAAACCTTTACATCCGTGTGAAAGATCGAATTATTTTCCATTGCTGAGGGGATAGGGCGGGGGTGATCAGGAATTCTGAGATTTGTAAGCGCTGCTTTCTTTAACGGAAATTGAGCCCTATTTTGAGGAAAATTAGTTTTGCAGACTTCGTTTAAAAAAAAAAAAAAAGGCTAAAACTTTTGTTCACCAGCTGCTCGCCTTTTCCAGTCTTGGTCTGAGCTGGAACCTGCTGGAAGAAAAAAAAAAAAAAAAAAAGGCTAAAACTTTTGTTCACCAGCTGCTCGCCTTTTCCAGTCTTGGTCTGAGCTGGAACCTGCTGGAAGCCTTTGACGGTAAGACTTTCGTTGCCGGTATTTGGAGGATCTAATACTGTTTTAGACTTCGAAAGGGGATGTTATTCAGGTTGCACGTTTCTAAGAGTTTTAAGTACGCAGAGGAGGACCTGTGAGAGAGCTTAGATCTTTTGAATATTTCTTCCTGCCACTCCCCACTTCTTTGGCTTTTTAAGAATTTTCTGTTTTAAAGGAAGGGATATATTCTTCCAATATCGATGAAATAGTTTTTGAATTTTCATTGTGTTTATGGTTTCAATATGTGCTCTGATATTAAAAGTTGAACTACAAAGGGCAATTCCAGACGTCCCAAACTCAGGGCGCTCCTCTATGGGTTTCTGAGAAAAAGCTTTAAAAGCTTTATCCACAAGGAAATGTAGGTAACCACCTCAGTAAACAGTAGCCAGGAATATTTACATAATGTAATTCAGTCTGCTAATACCACAGTGGAAAATGTCAGACAAGAGTGGCTAAAGACACCCTTGATCTGCAGACACCAATAAAAATATCCATAATGATCCTTTTGGTTTCTATTACAGTGGTATAGAGGGAGCTAAGCCATTGAAGAAAGAATGGATTTGGATTTAACCAGTGTGCTGCAGGTAAGGAGCAATGAGTCACAGAAACTTTTCATCTGCATAAGCTGCCATTCATTTCTCCTTGAACCTGTATGTGACTCTCTGGCTCCGTTTCTGACATCACTGTGTCAGATGTTAGCAGCATGTCCAGAAGTTTCTCTACAGCCTGCATCGCTCCTTCTGCCCCTGGAACTGGAGGGCCAGGAATCTGAGAAGAAAAATTTAATAAAAGTTAGAAAGTTAGAGTGAATTGTCCTCCAAGGGCATGCAGCTACCAAAAAAGGTCTTATAAACTGAACACTGAGCATTTCATATCAGTAAAAAGTGTTAAGTTCAATTTTTCAGTAAATAGTACTATATGGAAGAAAAATGTTGTTTGGCAATGAAAAAACATATACTTCAAAGAAAGGATGTTAAAAGAAGATCTTTAGAAAAATATTGATGTATTTTGGAATTACAAGCTTTTTTTTGAACAGAATTTCCCTCAATTTGGAAATACATATTAGTTATTTCTTAACGTGTTTTTAATATTCTTTATGATTTAATATTTAATATCTTAGAATATTTGGAACAAGATAGAGTACTAACTTTTATTCTTTAGGCCATTATTTTTTTTTTAATGTGTAGAGACTAGAAGATAAGAATCCCTTACTTTTCTTATAATGTAACTTCATTGTCCACATCTATAAATTCCAATGTCAAAAGTTGCCTTTTTACCTCTTACAGCTAGTTTTAGAACAAAGAATGGAAAAATGGAAAGATTTATTGTAAGATTTCTATAACATTCATTTTGAACCAAATATAAAGCAGAGAGAATTTAGTCTATTCATACAACATCCTTCAATTTTTTTTAAAAAAAGTTATATTAATATCAGTATCATGCAAGATTTTAATATTATTAGCACATCATAAAGAGGTTCAGCATATGGAAAAAAGTAAGCTGCTTAGCTCTTGTGGGAAAAACTGTCAAAATAATTTTTAAAAATTGTTAGACTTTAAAAGTGCTAAGATAATAAAGATGTTCTCTCTTTCAACGACATTATATCAAGTAGTAAAGGCAAAGATATTTTTTATTAGTACTATTTTATCTTAAGACTACAGTTCATGCTAGAGAGTCTGAGAATTTGATATTTAAATTTTAACTTAAGAGTTGTGGTTCTTTTAAGAGTTGTTATTTTCCTGTATGTTCGTTCCTTAGGATGAGAAGGATAACAATATTTATTAAAGGGCATACAATATTTTATCAACAGGTTAAAGATTCCACTTTATATTTTACTAGCTATTATAAATATTTGCTTTCATAAAGCATAACTGTGATTTACATATGGATTATTAAGTTAAAGCTGAAATTTGTCAACTAAAGCTTTGAGGAGGAGGATAATGTTATATTTTCTGTATTTCCCCACATAGTAATGCATCGATAACCTATCTTTCAGATGGCCTTTCTGGGTGAATAAGAAAGAAAAAGAAAATACATACAAATATGTTAAATATTCATTGACAATTTCTGTCATTTATGTTTTACTCAGTCTTACCAAACTGAGAAGTTACCTTTCTTTAAGGATTATTTATCGCACAATTGTGAAATTTAATTGCCTATATTTGACTCAAGGTATTTAGTGTTTCTATACACCTCTAATTAATTTTAATTTAGTGATTGTTTTACATAGCATTGATTATTTCCCAGTAAAATTTGCTACGTTTTAGCATGAGTTTCAATAAATGTACATATATAAATGTTACGTTGGAAAAGTGTAAAATGATAACCAAGACATTGTCTTTTTCATTGCATCTGATGAAGTAATCTACTAATTTTTAACTGTAACTCCTTTCGTAATCATCATGACAAAATAAAATTTGTTCAAACTGGAGCTAATGACCTGATTAATTTTCAGAAACCAATTTTAATATAGAGTATGGCTAATAAATTGAAAAGGTTTGATAAAAATTAAAAAATATATCTGAGATTTCATAATTTCAGTTTCTTTCCATATACATTTTATGAAATTTTAATAAACTTTTTTGTTTGTTCTTTTTTTTTCAGGGAATATTAAAGTTGAGAAGAAATAATCATTTACAATATTCCAAAACCTTCTAACTCTACTTCCTTTTGTTTTAGCTATTTTATATAGAAAAATCTTAGGCAAAATTATTTTGTAAAGGCACAAAGAAAGTCACAAAAACCAGTGCTTTCTATGCCTGTATTTTCATTTGTATTTACTTTGTAAATGATATTATTGATTAACACTAATATTACATATGTATACAGTTGAACAATGACTCATTTTCATATTGAGCTGTAAGTTGTATATGTTCATCTACTATAACATAGTTCAAAAGTGAAATTCTATATATTATGGAATATATATAATATACCTTAAAACTCATAAGCATTACATTTCTATTCAGAGTTACAGGAAAGAAAACCATCTCTTTCTCCTGTCATAAAAAAGCAATGCTATAGTTTTAAATGGCTTGAATTCAGAATAAGTTCATAAATTTTAAAGAACAAAAACTCAATTGAAAGTAAAGAGGAGAATTGTAGGTATAGCCTTTAGTCTTCTGTTT